TATTGAAAGGAAAAGGCTATATCAACTAGAACGACGTGATCTTAAAATAAAATAAAGCACTCAAATTTGAACAAAATAGCTTGTGGCTTTTGTTATGTCGATAATTTTTTGCTATTAATAATTTCAATAAAATGTTGGAAATTGGCCACCACACGTTAACGCCAATTTTCTATGACCCGGTGTAGCTTTTCGGCTAGAGCTGCGGATATATATATCTCTGCGCGCTCCTCGAGTGTGCTGACTGATTGGCGTAAATTTTTGATATACAAGTACTATACCACCAGAGAGAAAAGAATATAAAGGCGTTAAATCGCAGGATCTTGGCGACCATTTAACTGCGTCATTGCTCGAAATTAACGAGTCGACGTGTTTAGACGTCATATATGGGGCGGCGCACCGTCTTTTTGGAATAGACTTTTTTCCGCATGAAAATACAAAATACAGCAGCTACCAGAGAACGTGCGTTTGACTATTAACTTGGACAGTTTGTAAGCGTTGTAAATGACGAAATGGCAAACCTTACTGAACACACTGACAAAATTTGACACAAATCCATAAACAAACATGTCCACCATGAGCTGTCAATATGATGTCATCCCTATGGCTGAGCCTGAATATAAAATTGGATACATATACATACATATATACTCAAAAACATGTCTCTTCAGGCATCCAATAGAGGCATTCGATGGCTGTTTCCTTACTTCAAGAAGAAATTGTGAAATTTTATCCAGTTTTGAATATTCTAAATTGACTTAACCTTTTAATGATGTAGTAATTTTGAGAAAAATATTGTACTATATATTCTTCGCATTAGCGTTTACCATACATTCATATCGCAATGAATTTCCGGGCTTTATTTCCGTTGTAATTCTTCTTCTTTTTAAATATTATTATGTAATACATGCATGCATCCAACTTTTTTATTTTTAGAGTCAATTTTCTCCAGATTTTTTTTAAATTAGTTTAGTTTTTCTAGCTTATTTTCATTTGGAATAAATAGTACTTATGCAATGAGTTTCATAGAAAGTGGATTCGATAAGAGGCCAATTTTATATGGAATAGTAATATTTGCTCTATCCACATTACGCCTAGTTATATATTTGCATATGTACACACAATCATGCATAGGAACTTGTAGATAAAAGCTTTCTATTAAAAACTATATAATTTTTTAAAGCGAACATAACCGATATAAATATCTTCAAAAATTAATATTAAAAATAAAATTATTAAGAAAAATCCTATTTTTCCTATTTAAACGACTGACCTCGTGATAACTAAGAAACTTGGTGAATTAAACATATTTTTGCAACGAAGAGCAACTGAGGAAGAAGGTTCAAAGTAAACATAGAAAAAAAAAAATGGCTGGCAAAAGGCATGTTAGCTATGCGCAAAACTCTAAAAGCCTATACGGATGGCTCGAAAATGGAGGATGGAGTTGGTGCGGGAACATACTGTTCAGAGTTAGGCATAAGGCAAACTTTTAAGTTGCCGGAGTACTGCAGTATATTTCAAGCTGTCTTATTGCGAAAGCAGCGGCGCTGATTTCAAATGCACCTACAGGCAATTCCAGTGTCAACTTCTGCCTAGACAGCCCAGCAGCAATGAAGGCAGTAACCTTGTACCGCATATCGGCCAGTAGTGTCTTGGGGCAGCAGTAGGATGTGTTGCCAGAAGTAACCAACTTCACTTCAAATGGGTGCTATTCCACAAACGCATCGAGGGGAACGAATTAGTGGACGAGATTGCCAAGAAAAAGTATAAATATTTTTTTTCTAAAAGCCACTTTTTCTGGAATCGTAGTTTTTGACTTTCAAATAGATATAATCCCTTAATGCAATGAAAAGAACAAGCCTAAAGCGTTTTACCTTTAATTTAGTGGAATCAGAGTGACTTTATCATATTGGTTGTTATACCCAAAAAGGAACATTCAATGAGCAAATTACTTCCTTAATTTGAGCCAATATTTATGGCATCAGTAATTGAGCAAAAATACCATATATTTGCATTATTGTTGTGTAGTATATACATATGTATAGATGTATATTATATACCAATGTAATATATACTATATATTTATAAAATGGCATGCCAATGAAATTTTAAATGTAGAATCCTGTAAATTTATTTTATTCTAAAACAAAACTAACATTAGTCTAAGACTCAGTATTCTATAAATATGTACATATGTATGTATAGTATGTCAGTATAGGTATTTTTGTGTTTAATATAGAATTGTATTCAGTCTGACACAGTTTATGGAGCTACAGGTGTAGATACATACATATATGCCTTTAAAGATATGACATTGCGAGATTATTCTAGGCAGTCAGCCAAACTGTAACCTTTTTCCATTCTATCTACCAACATAAATTTGTATATATATATGTATATGTTAGATATGTAGCATGAAAATCTAATGCGTAGTTGTATATATGTATGTATGTGTGTAAATACATATATACAAACAAAATTTTGGCCTACGTGACTAACGAAACCGTCACTCAACTCAAATCTAACCCAAACAAATGAGAAATTTACGTGCCGACGTTGAAAAAGGACCTGGAAATTTTATTAGCAAATATTGTGTCAAATTTTGAGGCAATATTAGTTAGCATTTTGCCAAAATATTTACAGTTTTTAAATTTTTGCAAAGTTGGAAAGACGTACAAGTTGAATAATTATGCAAACAAACTGTAAATACGACTTAGATGTAGATATGTATGTATTTATACTTAAATACGTATGTATGTAAAATGCGAGACAGACCCCCTTTAAGGCGTAGACAATGGTGTGCATTGGTGAATGAACGCAGTGAGCTCTTATGTATATAAGCACATACATATGTATGTATGTATGTATGTAGGCACATATCTATGTTTGTATATGTAGACAGCTTACCGGCGAAAACGACCAAAATAGTAAACAGCAAAACGCATAACACGAGCGAAGTCATTAAAAGCGACCAAGAAGTAAGCAAAGCGAAACCAACATCAACAAACTTGAGTACACACCTGAAAAAAAATCAAAAAAAAAAGAAAAAACAAAAAAACCTATGCATGCATAAGTATGTATATCTACATACATACGTCTGCATATCTACATACATATATGTATGTATGTGTGTTAATTTATCATTAATCATTAAGTATAGGTAAATACATATGTCAGTTGGTAGAGAAAAAGTTCATAAGTGTTTCAAACACACAATTTCGTGTGTTAAGACGTTACCACTCTTTAATCGCCACTATCACCCCGTTGCTAGTAGAAATTGCTGGCATGTGCCCTTACAGGAGTATTAGAAACTGTACTCTCTACCACACGCGCTTGAACTCTGGCGCTCTGCTTTGCACCACCAACGTCAGTGCGGCACTTCAGCTCGCGCCTGCCTGGTAGGGTGGTGCGCTTGCTATGTTGTGAAACAAAAAATAAAAACAAAATTCAGAAAAACAAATAAGACTTTTCCATTACACACATTGCTCGCGAAGAGAATCGCGATAAAGACGAAAAAGTGGTTGGCAGTTAGTTAAAGTAACATGTGGCGTTTAATGAGCGCTTCGATTGCGCTACAATCGGAGATTAATCAATTGGTGAGGAGTTCATGAGCACTCGGAGCGAAACAACCTAAATCAAACGCAAGAGTTCCAGTGAGCTTTTTGCCCTCCGAAAGGGTTACTTCAGAACGGACGCTGAAAGCCAACCGTAAATGCTCGTATTGCGTAAATGTGCTCGGCTCGGCTTTAAGCGTCCGCTCTACAGGTACCCTAAGGCAAACCTCTCACTAGTTGTGAGGATTTTAACAATTCATTGCTCTATTATTGCAATTGTGGTAGAAAATCTTATCGGTTGCCAGTTGCAGAAGCTGGACGGTAGAAGACGTGACTCTGATTATTTTTCTTAGTTTAGAAAGACAATCTTGAGAAATACGGGAAAATGATTGAGATCAGTAGGAAGGAAACTGGTCGGTGCTTTGATCCCAGAGACGAGCTGAAAACAATTAAGCAATTGAAAGTTCACACTTTCAGACTGGCAAATTTGAATTTGGCCTCAAGGCTCTTCGCCGACTTATAAGATCGGATGTAGAAGTTATATTTTTATGACTTCACATGAGACTACATATAGTACTTCAAGTGCGATTCCCATCTTGAATTTTAAACATCAAACATAACCTAACCTAATCTAACTTCAAATGGTAGCAGTTTACTTTAAAACCCTCTGAAAGCTTTTCATATTGTTTTAGGAAATGATTGACAAATTTAGGAATGTTATACGAAAGAGAAGCGCGAACTAAAAATTACTGAGGCGCTTTGAAAATTTTAGTAATGCTTGGTGGAGGGGTACTGAGTTAAACGGAGAGTAGCCCAGAGGGTTTTGTAGAAGTATTCACAATGAAATGTGCCTGAACATATTTGGTATATGAGAAGTTTTTCATAAAGTAAGTAGTTTTCAAAAATCTTTTCAACTATTTCCCAAATTTTTGAGAGTCTAGATACTTCTGCTATAGTTTTTAATCTTTGGATGACTTTGGGATTCTACTATACATTTATGTGTTATATGCATTTCTTCTCAACCGTTCTCTAATATTGGAAAGATCTATTACTATCTCGTATATGTTCGAGATATTGGTTGAATCTTTTCATTTACGAAAGATTTTCTGCAAAAAAATTTATAGGATATTTCATAGCCCTTCACTCTCTCTCAGCCAGCTCATTTTGTAAAGTGCACACTACAAGCGAAGAGCTGACTGCAAAAATAAAACGTGAAGTAATAGTCTGCACCAAACGCGTGATAAGCGAAGTGAGCGCTCCAGAAGCCTGTCGCTTCAATGGTTGCTCGCCAAACATCAACCATGTGGTTGTTGGCGTTTTCGTCGACTCGCTGAAGTCTTTGTCCATGTGTGCGGTGTTGTTGATTTTTCGCGTTGGCTGCCTGACTGCCAGCCATTACGATTTGACTGCGTGTCGTTGACGAGAGTGACGCGGCTATATAAGCAGCGAAGCGCTGGGATAGAGTTCAGTAAAGTTTGTGCCTTCGAGCAGAATACTAGCGAAAGCAAAGTCAGAGAAAAAGTTAAAAAGTGAAAGAAAGTAAAACTTACAAAAGGTTCTAGTTAAGAAGACTAAAGACACTAAGAGCAGAACAAGTGAAAGTGAATAAACAGTTATTTTTGAGTGCATCCTATAAGCGAAAGCGAGCAAACCAACTTTAAGCAAGATGCCACATCAATTCCCAATTACACCACCTGCACAGATGCCGTGCCCACACTGGAACCACTTCCCCATACATCCACAAGTGCAGCATCCATTCGGCAGTTGCCAAGGCAATGTTAGCGGCTCACCGCCACCATCGCCGAGCTCCTACTCCTACTGCAGCGCCTGCAATGCCATGCAAAAGCGGACGGCATGAGATATGCCCACCAGCAGACTCGGTGCAAGCGAACAGCAACAACAACGGCAATAATACAAGTAACTGATGATGTTGCGAAAGCGTTCAGTTCCTGGCGACAGCGGCCAACAAAGAGAACGGAGTTGGCAGAAGACCTGAAGGCGTTGATATCTCGTTGTTGTCGGTTGAGAAGGCCACCCAGCGGCCACTCCTGCCCCCAGCGCCTGGAAATGGAAACAAAGACTGCGTGAGGTCGCACGCTGTCGTCGGGGAATGGCTGCAGCAAAAATGAAAATGAAATTGAATTCTTAAAAGTCGAAAATTAAAATACTGAATGAAAAGAACTGTCGCAACGCGTTTAATCTGAGTTAACTGGAGCGTTAACCGTTGCAGACAACACCCAAGCAACGCTCAAAAACCAGTTTCGAACTTGAAATATGAATACGCATTATTGCCGTTGTTGTATGGAACGTACTTAGTTGATACAAACAAACACTATACATACACATATTATATACAAGTGTCATATTGACGCCAACGCGATATACATGATACATATATACATTTTAAGCGCGTAAATATATTTACTTAGGTACTCCGAATTCAAAACAGACTTACAGCATTTATCATATAAGTAGGCATGTGTTTACATACATATGTGCTTAGTTTTAGTATATATAATACATCGAAAAACCGGCGTGTTTCCATTAATGCGTCAAAGACTGTAATTTCCAACATATTTAGCATTGTATGTATACAGTTATAATATAGTAGATAAGTTTGTATCCACCAATGAATTTACAAAAATAAATTTTATTATTCAAATTCAATTTTAAACAATTTTGTTTACTTTCCATTGAATGATTTTATAATCAAAAGCATATTTCTGCACAATTTTATTTGTGATTTAAACATCCTTTGCCATTTTTATTGCCAGGGCTGTCAGCATGTGGTTTCTAGCGACGAATTCGTGCATAAATATGTTAACTACTCGCATAAAATACAAAAAATATTGCTTTTAATGATAGAATTTTTTAAATGGCTGAGAATTTGCTAAGACACGTTTAGTGCTGGTCTCGTATCGGCGGCCCAAGGTCAGAACATAACAGATATATACATATATAAACATCGACATATGTATATGAATGTATGTAAATACATAGTATGTATGTAAATATTTAAGTCAGTTCTACACTTTAGAAGCGTGAAATAATTTGCTTCTACTTTTTGTGGTACTTCAAGTCTAACAAGCTGAAACATATGTAGATACATACATACATACCTACGAAAATGTAAATACTCTTCAATTATTGAAGTCAAAATGAAATAAACAAATAATGAATATATAAGCAGTGAGAAAAACATCTGTCCAACCTTCTTCCGAAAAAAATCTTGTTATATGTGAACCTCTCAAACTTGCCTTTATGCTTTGGAAAAGAAATGAGATTGATGAGGAAAACTCCTTAATATGCTAAGAGATTCTAAATTTCTTACTCTACAAATGCTTTTATAAGAATCATAGATAGATTGATTGAAAATAATTGAGGTTTTGCACTGCGACCTATGGTCAGTTGTGCCCGCTCCTATATCACATATGGTCACAAAGGTCCTGCACTCTGAATAATTCCGCGATGGAGGTGATGTGATTAATGTTCACGTAGATGAATCCTAGATCCTTGAGCCTGTTTCTAACGGGTTTTGAATCCACTTGCTCAGTACTAAATGTTTCCGTGCCAGTGAGATAAAGAAATGCCCGGAGTGTCGAGAATATTGCTGCCGCTAATGCATCAATTGAAGAAGACCCAAAATCAGTCTCTCAAACGTCGTTCTCAAGCGTTATGCCTCTCTGTGACGTCGCTTACATCCTTACAAGATCAAATCGACGCAAAATCTGAAGCCGCTTGACCATCAGAATTGTCGTATGATCGTGAATTGGGCTGAGCAAAAACTTGAAAACGATACGGATTTTCATCAAACAATTGTTTTCAGCGATGAGGCTCATTTCTGGCTGAACGACTACGTCAATAAGCAAAATATGCCTTATTGGTCAGGCAGCAATCTACAAGTACGCTATGAGTCACTATGGCATCCCGAAAAAAAAAAGTTTAGTGCGGTTTATGGGCCGCATTTATGATAACCGAATATTTTTAGCCCAAATTGGAAGATATGAACTTGGAAAATATATATGTATTGGCATAGTCAATTGGCCGCCTCAGTCATGCGATTTGACGCCGTTAGACTATTTCCAGTGGGGCTTTGTCAAGTTTATGGTCCATGCCAACAACCCAGTGTAGATTGATGAACTTCTTACGAATATACTATAGAACGTGAAGTTGCAACAGTATCGGCCGATTTATGCTTGAAAACCGTCGAAAATTAGGTTCAGCGTCTGGACTTCTGCAAGTGTGCCCCTGGTGGCCATGCGATTTCCATACATAATGAGATCGAATGTACTATCAAAGGAATGCTTTTTCAAGAATCATAGATAAATAGAAGATAGAAAATAAATGAGGTTTTGCACTGCGACGTATGGTCTATTGTACCCTCTCCTACTTATGGTCACAAAGGTTCAGCACTCAGAAAAATTCCTGGAGCTTGCTGGGGTCAGGGTCTTGAACAAAATGCTGGGCATTCTAGAAGCAAGTGTTCTGTGGTCAGTCTATGTTCTGGGGTTGATCATATCTTAATCAAATTGTTTGTCGCGAGCACGTGTTTTTGATTGGTACAAATTATTCAATTATACATGGTCGAGAACGCGTACATATACTTATGTATAAAATATGTATGTATATCAATAACTGATATGCATTTCTTTTATTTAAAATTTCTGGAAAAGCGAAAAGACTTATTTCACGTGTCAGAAGTTTTTATAAAGCGGTCATGCGACCACTTGAGTCAATATCGGCATTTCAGACTGAAAGCAAAATATATATCAAAAATGTTTAATAATAATATTTATATCTTAAAAATTGATATTTTCATTTTAACATCCATTCATTTTTCGATTGGGTAGTCAGCGAAAGCAGAGTCGTCGTTCAATGACCCAACACGCTTAAAGACTTGGCCCCAATTATGAGCAGCTAAGTAAACACGTTTATGTTTACGCTGCAACTATTGCACACTTAGATGCGAAAATTATCGCTTATATAATAAGTTAAACAAAAACTCATATGCACTGTATTTAACAAATAGAATCAAATAAAAACTAAATATTTTTTTGTAATATTTGCATTCCAATTCGCCCTAGTTTTGCTTTGCTTAATGCGTATAAATAAACTTGCAACGCTATCGATGGGGCGTATAACAAACAACATAGATGCACACATACCTACATACAAGTACATTTGTATTATACACTACACTACTGCCAATTGTGTGTTCAGGCAACTTGTGGCTTCCCATTGTGTAAACGCCAAACAGTGCGTTCGTAAACTTTGGACTATAGGCGTTGTTGTTTTTGTTATTGCTTTGCAATTTATTACACTACTGTAATGGATTAAATTGAAGAAGCTATTTGCGACGGAGCAGCAAAAGCTGTAAAAGCTGCCCAGCAATGCCTCAATTAATGTAATAGCGGAAACTTCGTGCGTCCCATGTTTTTGGGGTCCAACGTGGCGCCGTTGTTTAGATAAAGCCGAATTCATGCGTTAACACAATATAATCGATATTTAATGAATTGTAACTATTATAGCCTGCAATTGTCATAAGTAATTTATTTTTATTGTCGAAGCGTCAAAGTTAATGAATATGAACAGGCGTTAGATAAAATTGAAAAAAAAAAAGTTTTCTTTTAGGGAGGAATTTAGGTTGAAAGTAATGGGAAAACTACTGAAGGAAACGTTTTCAATTAGGAGATGAGTTTTTTCTCTCACTTAAGGGGTTAGTTAAGTGAGATTAAAGGCTCTTCTCCGAATCATGCAAACTCGTTTCGACTTCGAGATCAGTCTAGAGGTTTCAAAAAATCAATTTCTCTTTTTTAAAATACTTTAGGAACATAGAAACATTATTCAATTGTTAGATTAATCCAAGCTAAAATTTTCTCTTTCACTTGCGATCTTCGACAGTGTCAAAGCATTCAGCATTCGAGTCCACCAACTCCGTAAGTGAAACTTTAAAGAAATTCATCTCGAAACTGCACTTTTCTATTTCGGATACAATAGTCCTATAGAGACTAAATACATACATATGTACATACATATTTTTTTCGGTACTCTAAGAAAAAATTATCAAAGTTATACTTTTTTTGAGAGCTTTAAATTGGCCTATGCCCATAAGAATGCTCTTAGACTCAATGGGAGTTAGCATCCTCAGCAAGGTACACAACTTGTCGCTGACCACCCTTCAAATACCCGTTGTGAGGAAAATCGGAAGAGTGGTCCACTTACTAAAACATCGGAAACCCGCCAACAAAGTTGAGTTCAATCGGCCGACCACTCTCCTCTCCAAGCAGTTTCTGCTGGGATGTTTTCGAGTAATTCAAATTCTATTTCGACATAAGCCGACCAGATTTCGGACGCTGCTAATTTCAGAAATACACTGGCCACCACTCACAATGGAGCCAAAAACACCTTCAGTGACTTCCACTCAGCGAATGTCGTCTCTTGAGTCAAACCATCACACATTGCAGACAAGGAGCTCGAGTTGCCGCGAAAGTCGAGAGTGTCCCTTGCACAGCTATGTTCTGAATACTTTAGCAGGTTAAACTTCTACTTATCCATAATCGACCCCGGCATATCAAAAAAATGTTTGGCTTACAACGAGTTCCTGCATGACTCTAACCACCTCTTTGCATGTCCAGCTAACCCTACACAACTGACATTTCTTTTCCTATGTTCAGACCCTGTCGAGACGGCACGTTTTCTGTGCCTACCTTTGGATCATCTCGATGACAACTTAACTGAACTTTACCACCCTAAGACTATATAACAGTTAAAACAACAACAACGCTGTATGAAAAATATTTATTTAAAAAATCCTAAATATAATGGTTTGCCAGCATTCCAGCCTAAACCACCGAGATATACTTAGCTTACAGGATTGAGAAACCGTTAAAACAACAACAACAACTTAGTTCACCTACAGCTCTGGCTTACAGACTTCTGCTGACGTAAACGCGTTCTTACAATAACCTGCTAAGCTTATGGCGGTATATTTTTATAATTTATGATAATATCTGAGCACTAGATGTCTGTATATATTTGCAGGTAAGTGTCTTGAATAATTAAATATTAATTTGCTTACCTTTTTACACTGCTGTTTTTTCTTAAATTTTTCTGAATAGGGTGATGCAAGGAGTATATACATACATATGATATTGTGACGTAATTTGATGAAAATGATGAATATTTTAAATAAAAGCTTGCAATTTTTCTTGAGTTATGTCTGAAATAGTAAGTAACGTGTATGAATTTTTAATAAATTGTAAATTAATATTCAATAATGAATGTAAGCATTGATTCTTTTAAAATAAATATTCTATACAATACACATACACAAACATACCTATGTATATGTATATACAATTGCCATATAAAAATGTAGATACATATGTTTATATACTTGTATATTTGTGCGCATGATTTTTTTTAAATATCTCCATATATTTATATACATGAATACAGTACTTATCGGTTCTTATACCCACATTATAAATATAAATAATGAATTCAAATTCTATTCGCTGCTTAAACCTACGTTTTGTTTTTCATTTAATGTGTCAGTCATTTGCTGCATAATGACCTTGATGTTGTTGATGTTCGTTTACTTCGTGATGGCAATAAAAAATGTATCAAAACTCATTTTATTTGTTTCCAATCACTCAGATTAAAAGTTGAACGCGAATAAATACTAACAAGCGTGCTACTGATAACGCCATTCATATCAGCAGACGCTATGGCCTGCAAATGAAATCATGCCGGCACACGCGTACGCAAATTGCAAAGAAAGAACCTACTCGATTTATAATTAGTATTTGGATTATTTTTTATTATCCTTGACTTGTGGATAACAACCTGTCCGCTTTGTGCGCACTTATCAGTTAATTATAGCAAGAAAAAAATTATCACTCAAAAAATAAAAAAAAAAGGTTGCGACTGCTTATTACAAAATTATCTTAAATACTTTGCTCGTTAAGCATCACTAGTACTCTGCGCCAATAGTAAAGCGGCATGCATACAAATAAACATTATAATAATCACAGCAAAATATATTGTTTTATATTTAAGATGATAGTAAACAAATCTTTTTTTAAACAACATAGTAAAAATTTAATTTTAGCAACCAGACACTTGATCACGCACACTTCACGCCGACACGCACACACTTACATATATAGATAGACATAACAAGCCACAATGTTTAATTAATTTAAGTTAACATCTAACAATTTCTGACCGGCATAAACAAAAAACTTGAGTTGCAAGTGTATTCTCGAACGCTACACGCTACGCAGCAACGACGACGCTATTTTACGTAAAAGTTGGCAAGCAACATGTTGTGTACACAAGTGCATCGTGTAACGGCGATAACAGGCGCACATGTTTAGCAGTCGCGTTTCTTACATTGCCGTATGCATTTATTTTTAGCGAAATTTGCAGGAGTGCAATGCTCTTTGTTTGCGCTGTGCGCGATTATTGCTGTTGTTGCTGTGCGCAACACAAATTTAACAGCGAAGACGTCATTCACACAAGCGAAAGCTTTCAATAATGCAACGGTGCGCTCCAATCAAAATACATACATATGTATGTATAAAGCAGTTTGCTCTTGCACCAATACTTGCATGATCTCCCTTTAAATGCTGCTGTAATTATGCGTAAACACTTTATTCTTTGCTAGGCAATTATTTATATAGTTTACAATTTTTTAATCATCTATTGAAGTACAAAATATGCATTATTGCATGCTTTTTGCTCGTGTTTAAAATTTCATATGTATAACCATTATTGTTGTTTTGTCGGTGTTTTTGTGTTCGGGTTGCTGATTTTGCTAAGGCATATACGCTTTGTATCTGGCCCGTTATTCGATTTTGTTGTATAACATTGATCTAACATTTCCAGTAGCGAACGTTGGCGCGAACCTGTGGGCTTCTCAGACGACGGCGAAACATTTGATTTTCCCAATTGCTTCTCCGTTGAAGTATTATTTTTGCTTTTCGATATTTGTGTTTCTGGGCGCGCACTTTCGGCACTATCAAGCACAATTTCTTCACAATTCAACACATTAGCAACGCTATCGTTTGATTGTGATTGATTTGTAAGATCTACTGTTGAGAGGTTTGGTGCATTCTTCTCTTCTTCTACTTCTGCTGGCGAGCTCACCCAAGTACTGGTTGAGGATATGGTGATTTCAGGCGCAACTTCGGTCCCTTCGGCATCCGAATCGGAAGTGGAGGCGAAAATATCTTCACTTAAATTGATTCGCCGTGGCGCTGACGTGGAAATTGGCTTCTCCTTAGTAATGGTTTGCTTCGGCTTCAACCAACTTATCAATACATTACGCATACTTTTATTCTTTGGTGACGTCAACTTCGTCTTCGGACTGCGCTGGAAACAAAGTGTTGTAAATTAAATATGAACACTTGAACCGAAGGCTGATATAAGTATTCTGTAAATATACCTTTAATGTGTTACTAATGCAGCCGTAGATGAAATTATACAGTTCATTGCCGGGCATATTTTGACTTTGGTAGCTAGTGAGCAAATTCCACAAATCTTTTACACACACATTATGTTCCAGCAAGAAGGAGTGCATGCAGTGCACTTCATCGCGCAGTTGTGCATCGCCAAATGTGAAATATACAAGCGGTCGTTGGGTTACGGTGCACACCATTAACTGCAGCAATGCTTTCAGACGCGGATCGCCGCCAAAGGCACCACAGCCCCAGTTACCTGAAGCCACGCCAGGTGCCGGTGTGATTAATGTGTGTTGGAAGCCTACATATGCCTTATTCAATTCGCGCTTGATCTGATCTTCCCGATATTGATGTTGTGATTGCATGAAGTGGAGCGCATCAATAGCCACGATATGGGTTTGACGACGTCTTGAGCTATCACGTGGTATGCAATCTTCATGATTACCAGCCCATTCAAAGGTGCTTGCATAACCGCTGTAATCACTAAAGCGCTCAGCACCAACCATCAATAGTGCCTCTGTGGGACGCAAACACTCTGTGAACAATTTCGAGAGCAGCAGTTCAGGACAAATTACAAAACGTATTTCCTCTTGTACACAGCCTCCGCCGAGTACCCCACCACCAAGGAATTTATTGGCGAAATCTACTTGCAGCAAACCAAAGCCCTGATCTTCAATAGTGCCATCAGACGTAATGTGTAAAGGTGTAACACCCAAGGGTGCTCTACATTCGGCCCAGTTAGGCAGTTCTGTGGGTTCTAAGCTGCGACGTACAAATGTCACAACACCAGTGGGTACATTAGAGCTATCACGTTCTGTTGGGCATACACGTCGAAAATAATGGCAGATGCACTTAATTTTTTCTATAACTGCTTTACCACCACTTTGGAAAAGCCTAAAATATAATTATTTAACATAGGCATTGTATTTAAAATTTATTCAGTTATTTATATACCTATTAAAATTTATATCCGGGAACGTGCTGTACTCTGAGCGCTTCTTCATTGTATTCCGTCTGGGGAACGTGCAGAGAAATGCATTAGCTAAGAGACAAGAAATCTGCTGCTGCGTCAAAGTCACTGAATGATTCTGTCCTTGCTTGAGCAAAGGAATTGGCGCTTGTACCAATTCCGGCAAGCGTAAAGCCAAACGTATTATACGTGGTAGCAAATCTTCGAAAAATACACGCGATTCACTCTCATCTAAGTCATCTTCAAAAAGGCGGTGCAGGGAACGAAAGTTCCACTGACCTTCATATTTAGTATTGTAAGAAAGTATAGCCGCTTGCAATTCCTTACTGTTAGTAATAGGCTGTAATAATGCTTTTTCAATCATTCCCCAACGAGCTTCTATTGTGGAACTGCCATCTTCCGCTGTAACTGGATATTGACTTTTACTGGAGCAGGGCAGTCGCACATGTATGGCATCCCATTTGTGATGTGCTCGTAATGGACGTGGCGGCACATCGTCAGGCTCACGTATAGGACAATGATAAAGCACTGTATGGGTATCACTAGGTCTCACCGCTGGCAAATGGTCTAATTCAAACTCATTCAAGCCGCGATGTATTTCCTCCATCGAACAACCGCGCCACTGCTGATCGTCTGTAGGGGATTCCGCTAATATATTTAAATTGAAAAATATGATTCATTTTACAATGAAGAGCATTAAAACTCACCGCCGTTTTCAATACACACGCCATTTCCAGCACTGGTGTTACTGCAACTGCCACCTTCAGCCATTCTTCGAATGCAAGTAACTTTTATTGTGCGTCTGCAGTTAATCGCAGACTTATATATAGTTTGCTGAAATTGGCGTAAAATTTTAGCAAATTAACAAATCCTATTGTCAACCGAAAATTCCTGCACACAGAAGAGATCAGCACTCTTTGGAGAATTGGAGAAATGTAAATAAGTCAGCTGTTCGGTGACAAGCACGCAATAAATTATTACAAAATTATTTATAAAAAACGTTTATGAGTACAGTGTAATTTATTTATTTTTTCGCCTAATACTAATTTACGTTGAACGCAAAAAATTATGTTTTTACTTTTGTGTGTTTGTTGTTTATAAAACATTTTGACAAATGTAACCGAATTTCCTAAAAAGTGCTGCCCAGTCAATGTTTTCAATTCTCCACTATACAATTGGTTACCTTGCCGGACTGTAACCTGACATTCAATTGAATATTTACTTTCCTAAGGCATATCCTTCAATATACAAAGTCACAGGTATTATATTCTTAAACAAACCACGAAACAAAAAACAATACATTTAAAATATTAACATAAAAATATAAAGATATGATTTAATATGCCAGTAAAATTTTAAATACATAGTTTTTAAAAACATTAAAGAATAATTGGCAACCACTTTTTCTTTGATACAAGTATTTAAACGTTTTGAACAGAGGAAGTGAAACTTACTTATTTTTATTAAAACTTATTTAAAATACACAGTCAATTACTTTAATAAATCTTATGAAAGATCGTAGTCAGCTTGAGGTAAATGCCAAACTACAAATCGGGATACAATAGTATGGAATGTATATGTATATAAGAATTACTTTTGTGCCGGTAAGCAGTTGAAAGTTTATTTTACGAAAAATTATATAAAAAATTGGAATTCCGTGCGAAGTTTTAAAACATATGGTTTTGATATACATTTCCATTGGAGATATCGAGATAGATTTCCTTTTCTGCAGATATTGTGAAAGACATTTCATAAAGCCCGTAAGAACTAGACTATTATAGTATTTTAAATTAATCGCATGTGTCTCTCAAGCTTTTCTAATTACTGCCCCATCTAATATGAATGTATACACATTCATATAGATATATATGTGTGTGTTATATAAAAACTTACCACTCCCTTTGCCAAGAAATAAAAGCAATTTGTTTCTTTTTTGTACATATATAAAACTCCATGTATGTATGTATACATTTTGTTTGTCTGTTTTATTTATTTATTTAGTGTTTTGTATCAGTTTTATAATAACTGTTAGGTGTGTACATTTTTTGGTAATTCTTTTATTTATTATTTATTTGACATTCAATTGAATTCGAAACTTTGTTTGTCCTTTAGTTCTTCAAATTTTTTACAGAACAAAATACAACTTCTATATATTGTTGTTGTAAAATTAGTTATGGCTTAAAAAACTTAAAAATTTTCGTAATTGTTTGCAATAAACTGGAACGGAATAATTGAATTTGTTTGTATTCTTTCACAAAATTCTTAGATTTTTGTGTTTAATTTTTACAGTTTTGTCTTTCTGTGGCAGGCATTTAATTTCATGTTTTTGTAATATTTATTTATTGTTTGGATCTTTACACTTCGTTAAATATATTCAGTAATTGTAAAATTCATCTGTAATTGTTTTGTAGCATGTTAAATGAAAGCTTTAATTAACACTAAATTATGGACCGGTGGAATTGAAACATTTTCCTGTTTTTTGATTTCCTACTAATTTGCACAATTATAAATTATTTCATTTAAAAAAAAAATCTTTCTTTTTTTTACTTAAGACTTTTGTGTCCGTGTGTCTGCGTGTAAGATTTAAATTTTACATATTTTTTGTTTTTTAAGATTTTACATACGTCAATTTAACTTTTGTTTTGTTTGCTGAGTAAAAGACACGAAAGTGAAAGAGGTTCGCATTAATTTCTTAATTGAATTTCTAATAATTTTTAATTTTTGTTCAGCTAAATATATACGCGTGTTTTGGGTGGGTGTATATTCGTGTGTGTATGTATGCTTGGGTATCTTAATTTTTTTTTTTAATTTTTAGTGGCCATAATATAAATGTTTTATGCCGAAAAAGTTGTTTAAAATTTACTTTTTGTATGTCTTGTGCTTAAGTTAAAACATCGAGATTTGCTTAAAATTTTTTCGGCTTAATTTCAATACTTTTTCACTTAAATTTTACTTTATCCAAATATAAATTTTTTTCGCATTCATTTTAATAGCCTAAAATATTTAATTTGATCAATTTTTGATTTGTTTATTCTTTTAAAACACCAAAAGCTTAAATTTAGAGATTTTAAATTTTTCATTTTACTTTACTTTCTAAACCTTTTTTAATTTTAATTGTAGTTTTTACAATATTTAAATTTTGAATTTTGTTAGTTAATTTCATTAATTTCTCTTTTTTTCATACATGTCCACGCCTGCAAATCTATTTTAAATAGATATTTTCAAATAAATATTTTTGAATATTTTATGAAAGAAAACTTTTTCCAGTATTGTTTTGCAGTAGTTTCATGTATGTGTGTGTTTATGTTAGCAGTTTAAGCAGTTCCACTGTACTTGTTTTTGTGTTTTTACTGAATTTTGAATTCTAATTTGCTGTTTTGAAACGTCAACGAAAATCACTTCATAAAAAAATTTAGTTAAATTAAGTTTACAACATTATCACATTGTTTACGTCTTTGTCCATAGCACCTTTCGCTTTTGAATAAAACATTCCTACCTCCTTCTGACGCTTATATTTTTTTGGTTTTAATTGAGTTTGGACGAGTTTGATCGCTAAATGTAATATTAATAAATTCATCAGCTGTTTTTTTGTTTATGTTCGCAACATTGGAGACTTTGTGAAAATTAAAACGTAAATTGGCAAATGTAAAACTATTAATGCATTACGTTGGAATAATCGTAGTTTAACATTTAGATGTTAAAAAAAGTAGAAATCAAAGCTTTCTCCGTAGGTTTGTCTGAAAGTCACATAAAAAAGATCTTGAATGCTTTTTTTTTTATATACTTTTGAATGTTGATTTTAAGTCGCTGAGTTGCTAATGTATTGTTAGATAAAAATACATTGAGTTAAGCCAAAAAATGAGTTAGAACTCACTATTGAGCTTTGAAACACTGTGCTCAATATTGTATTATAATAAAGAGCGTAAACTTAAGCAAAATCTTTTGAGATAATAATCTCATCTAAAATTTTTCAGTGTCCGAACGGCCAAAAAATGATGATTTTTTTGCTTTCATTGCTTCACTTTTTTTGAAAATATGTTTTATCAAAGTAATTCAATTATCTCGACTTAGTATCTTAATCACACAAGCTGTTTTTTTTTTATCTAATACACGAGTACTATAAAATTGTTCAAAAAAGTTTTAAAATATTTTATAGTTCCATGAAATATCAATTTTAAAGGTAAATCGCTGAAGCTAAAAACTTTGTTAAAATAAATGTTTTAATAACTCTAATTCCTTTCAGATTTCACAATAAATAAAAACAATATCGACCAAACTCGCCTTTGCATCCGAATCGTCTTGCGTTGCAATTCTCTCCGATTTAAAATCAGCGTCTTCAAAATCAGCGCCTCTTACGTCTATGTCATGTAACAAGCCTAACTTTCCACCTCTCTTTTAATCTTATTGCATACTTCACCAATTTCCGCTACTTATACCTATAAATTCTCACCATCATGCTAATACAAATTCTCTAACCATTATTTCTTATTTACTTTCCTCTCTAATCTATCACAAAAAATAGCTTAACCTCTCGCCGATTTCTAATCGTTCCGCACAATTTTATACCCGCTCTATACAAATAATCTAGCGCTCAAACCATCTACACACCTGTACATACGTTTGTAAACCTAAAAATACGTACACATGTTCCAATACTAGTTGTTGCTTAAACTCTCCATTGCCACTTATTCACTATATATACTCGTAATTTACTGTTTTTACTGTCGTTTCGTTTCGTTTACGCATTGCTTAACATTTACTACGTTCTTTATCTCACTCTTTAAGGTTTTCGTTCCTCCTTTTTTTTTTGTTTTTACTAAACACACACGTAACTAATGTTCCAATTCCGCACATTCCTTAAATAATAATAGCATAGTTGAACTAAGTGGAATTGTATAAGTTCTAAATAATTTGGGGTTTTGTGTGCATAAATTTGTTTTTGTTTTCAAATATTATGTTGTTAAACCTAATTTTATAAGGCGCTTTTGTTGCAGTAAACAGTTTTTCATTTGAAGGTTCAAAAATTATATAATTTTTATTGCATTTTATTCATTTTCAACATTTTTTACTGCATTTCAGTTGGTGTTTTGTGAGAAGTTTGCGTTTATATAATTTTTGAAAATTGCTTATTTTTGCGTTAAGCGGTTTTTGCTTGCAGTTTTGTGGTTTTTATGTTTAATTTATTGCGTTTTGCATTTTTTATGTTTAATTTATTGTTTTTTTTATACTTTTTGTATTTAATAAAAAAAAGTTTTTGTTTTTATTGTTGTTTACATTGTGTGAAAATCAGTCTCTATTGCTTTTTTGTGGTTTTTTGCTAGTTTTGGTTTTGGTTTTTGTTTATACTTATCGCTTGCTATTGACTTGGCTGTTGCTGTGCCGTTTGCTTGCTGTAACGGTTTCAACTGTTTTAACGGTTTGAGTGTATGAGTTTGCTGCTTTGTAATTGCAAAGACTTGAAATATTTGAGTTTTGCCTTTCTTTGCTGCATTATAACCGCTTTTGGACTGCTTACTGACTTTAATTAACACTTTTTGCTTCACTTTTGCTTATACAACATTACATATTAATATTTTTAGTTTGTTTATTAAAAATCATTATCGGTTGCTTGTGGCTTAGAAAAATATCACATTCTTACTTCGTTCGATCGAGAGACATTTTTTGTTTGTTTTGTTGCTGTGGCTGTACTAATTATTCTATAAGTTGCAAGTTTTCTTTCATTACATTTTGCGTTTTGGGCGCCACGGCTCGTTTTAGCCAAGTTTTTTCCATATTTTTCTTTAATATCAAATTTCTGTCATTATTTTTCAATATTCTTATTTACAGTTTTATTTTTTGCGCTTCACTTAAATTTAATACTTTTTTTATTTTTTATTTATT